TCCCCGCTCAGCGTATTACTGGGTAACGCAGTGAGGAGCAGTTACAGTCTGTACTCCCGGGCAGCTATAGGCTGCCACAGGATGTGCTTAAGCAAACAAAACTACTTTTCCTCATCCCCATCCCCCAATCCCCGCCGCAGACCTTCGCGGACCTCGGGGGAGGACTTGGGCAACTTTGCCAGGTGGCCCGGCACCCCCGGGTTCGCGATGTGGGCACGGGGAGAACCCGGGACAAGGCCTGGGGGCCAATTTGCATGTATGCAAAAAAAATTTTTTTTAATCGGACCTCCTAGGTAACTTTCTTTTCCCTCTGAAATGCTGTACGGCTCAAAAGCATTGTAATCTCTCCAACGAAGCTTTCTATGGGAATAGATCGTCGGCAGAGGTAATTATGCACAAAATCCTGCAAACTTTGTGCAGCTTCAGTCCGATGGCATGCAGGAGCGGGGGTGGTGGGGAAATTTTTCACACAGAAGATTCACCGGATTTGGGGGGGCGGGGGTGGGGGTTGTCTGGAGAAAGGGAGGCGGAGATTAATGAGCGTTCTCCCTCCCAGGACTGTGAAACTAGTGGGTTTGAACACAGACGCCATAGAAAAAGTTCTATCACGTTCAGAAACAACAGTGGTTTAGCTGTGACATCTTTTTCTTTTTAAGAGAAAAAAAAAATGTAAAAGGGATGTCCCCTTGGGGAAGGGAGATATTCTGGTCCACAAACGCGTGCCCAGAAGTGGACAGAGGCTATCATAACCGTCTCTGTGCCTGGGACACCTCTGGAAAGGTGCCTTTTAAGAATCCCCTCTTTTTCCCTCTCCCAGGTAATAGTTCTTAAAATGGAAAAGAGCTTCCTGCAATTATTTTAGGTTTGCTAAAGTATTGTTTTGGCAGAAAAGGGGGGTGGCTTTTAGGGTTTGGCAAGTTGCCAATAAGCCTGCTTTTCCAGTTTTTTTAACCTCCTATTTTCTCTCTAGGCTCTCCTCCATGATGGGGGAATATATGTATGTATATATACCTCCTTCATCCAAATCCTCTTCCCATCTCTTCCTGGACCTCATCTCCCTTGCTCTAGTTTGCAGCCTGCTGCATTCGCAAATCCTTCTCAAAATTCCAAAAGAAAAGATGGGTGTATCACGTTGAAAGACACTGGCACACAGACAGGGGGAATCCGCACCTTGGTAGAGGTTACGTAGCTTAGACAGCCGCTGAAAAGAAATTACTGTAGGAATGCCCACTCTGCAGGTGAGGGTCAGGCGAGGTGTTAAGGTCATTCTCATTTAGACCCCACGCACCCCCCTTTTTAAGTCAAGGACATCAAAAATGCTACTGAGAAAAGAAAAATAAAATCCTCTGAAATATTCTGCATCTGTCTAAAGTTATGTTTTGCTTGTTCTCCAGTTACTTTATTGCTAAAATAATTCCTGAATGCTCAAGAAACCATTTCACACATCGTGATCCTAAATATTCTTGGACATCTCTCAGATTATTTATTAAGGGGTGAAGGGAAATAATGACTTAAACCTTTAATGAGAGAGTCCCATGTTTTCCAAACTAAACAACGGCTATTCCTTGGTTCCTCTTGGATTTCAGGAGGGGGGAAATGTCCTAAAAGCTAAGCCCGGTTACACAGACAACATTCCTGGCCACGAAAACCTTTGCTGGGATCTATAACTTCAACCCGCTCCAAGTTTCCTCGATAGAAGTTTCTGGCTGACGGTCCCAACATGTAACTGAGGCACAGGGAGAAGTTATTGTTCAAGTTTGTACTCTTGGGAAGCACTCTACCAGAGCAGATTAAAATCTTTCTTTTGGTGTATTAAAAGATAGACTTCACATCTGCCTCTTTCCAAAACAGTAAAGATTTTAACTTTTTAATTGAATCCCAAGAAAAAGAAAAAGATTTTTTAAAAAGACTGGCACATCGCCCTGATTGAAAAAAAAAATGGGGGAAAGTAACTTAATGCTGATATTTCTACTTTAAAAACTTCTTTTGTTGCAGCAGTGGATGTGCCCGCGATTTCCAGCTTTCTGCGGTTAGCAATATTATCTTAAGTAACTTTTGGCGCCCTTCGTAAGACTTTTGGATATGGGACGATTGTTTGCGCCCTCTAGGCAAGGGCTGGATCCAAGTTCAGCACCAAAGCCCTTCACATCCGCTCCTGCTTTCTCTCCTATCTCCGCCAGCTCCCGCTCCCTCCCCCGCGGGAGGAGGAGGAGGAGGGGAGGCGGGGGAACACTACAAAGCACAGTTCCAACTACAGCCTTTGGAAACACGACTGAGAAAAATACAGTAGAAGAGTTACAGTTACAGAAAGGCTTCTGGTAACTTTCTCTCCAACAGGCATAAATTTAAACACACACACAAAGAAACAGATGTTCCTCAAAGGGCAGTCTGGGGGTAAAAAACATTTCCAACTCTCTCCCTTTCCCAAGTTGCAAAAGTAAATCCTTGTCCAGAGTTCACAAAGCTACTAAGACGAGAGAGAGAGCAGGGATGGAGGACGGAAAGAAAAGATAGTAGGAAAGATAGTGTAGGAAACAAAGGAGAAGTATGAAAACTAGTTTACTGCAATCATATAAATGACCCATTGTTAGGAAGGATAAACCCCTTATTGGAAATAACTACTCCAATCATTTATTTTGCAAGTGCTGGGAGGCTGCCTTGAAATGGGATTGTCTCTGCGAAAAGGAGGCTCCTGTCATGCTCTCGGCTATCCATATTCTTCCTGGCACAGAGCCCAGCCTTGCATTTACTGTGTTTTATTTGCAGAAATGTTACCTTGCCAGTTTTAGTGAAATCCTCTTAGATATATAAATTACGTCAATAAGGTTTCACTTATATGTACATCTCAAATACCTCTCATTTTAGAGGTTACTTAATAGGAAGTTCTTATTAATATGATTTAGATTTTAATGCCCAAAGCAGTAAAGATAAAATTGGGGTTCATAAGTGACAATGCCATTAACCGTCATTCTTACCAAGACTAACTTTATCACTAGCATTTTCTAACATTTTTCTTTAGTTTTTTGACCTGCTGGTCATTTGTGTGCAGATTTTTCTTATATGCTTATATTTCTAAATTGAATCATGTTGCTGAACTGAACATCCAAGTGGATTCTTACATCAAATTTCCAAACTAGATTTGATTAGAAGGCCTAAAGCCTTGGGAAATAGCTCGATGGGAATTTAATACAAAGATGGGAAAGAGCCCATATTATTTTCCATTCACTTCCCAACAGAATTAGGTGTATGCCCTGTTCAGAAGGAAGGAAGAGATGGATATATTTTAGTCAGAGGCTGCCAGTTACTGTCTCCAAGACAAGCTACTGCAGTTGGTTTCCACTGGATTGGTGTCAAAGACTTGTCCTAGAGGCCAGACTCCAAGCTAAGAATTAGCCAGCTAGCAATCTTCCACACATACCCTCCACAGGGTTTGTTGTGGTAACAAGAATGTGAACTTGGCCAATTTTAATATCCTATTTGCTACTAACCATTTATTCAAACAGCAGAAATTTTTTTCTTAAGTCAAGAAAAAAACTTTCTCCCCCCATTCCTTTCAAATGTAAAAAACAGCTGTCAGTCCACCTGTGAAACATTGTCTCCCTTAAAACTGTTTAGAGTTCAAGAAGAGAGGCTTGCCCATTCCTCCAAAGTGCTGGTAAACCCAAATCTTCTAAAATAATCAGAGCAAAGAAGTTTTGCAATACAGAGCATACAACATATTACTTCCCAAAGCTCACTATAGTACCATAGTTCAGGGAAGTTTTTAAGTTATACATTTTTAACAGTTGAACCTCATCTTCTACAACAGTTAACAACTTATCTGAATTTGAAAATAATAATTAATGCAAAGTTAAATCTTTCTCTAACAGCATTTTTCTAAGTTTTTCCAGAAAGGCAGTAAAGAAGACATAAAATTCATGCAAAAATCCCCAATCATTTTTTTTTTCTTAAACTCGAAAACTCTTTCCTATTGTGCTTGCTAAATCCGGAAGAGCTTGTAGCTTTGACAGCTTGAACCACACCAACCCCTTCAGAGACGCAGAGAACTTCAGATCTTCTCTGCCCGCCCCCTCTCGCTACTGCGAACCATGGTACACCCAAGCTTCCTCATGATTGGATAAAGCTTTTGTCAATCTCTCATGTTTCCCCATTGATTAGAGGATCGAATCGTCAATTATTCTCCCGGTCCAGACATTTCTTTTCGGGTTAGGTTGACTGCTGAGGCCAGACGTCTTTTTACAGAACAGAGCACGTACAGGATTTCCCCCCCACCCCCCTTTCTGGAATCGAGCAAGCGCTAGGAGGAAAAAAAATCTGTCAAGCTCAGCAATTTTTTTCAAATCTCGGGGAAAAAAAACGGAAACCCGGTCTCTGATGCACACAGCAAAAAAAGCCATCCACAAAGCTACATCTTTAAAACAAAACCATCACAATAGACATTTACCCAGCAATCACTTAAATGCATATGCAAGCTAGAGAAATTTTAAAGTCTTAGCCATTAAACAAAATCATTCTACCATATTGTTGTTTATAAAACGCACATCGTATAAACGCAAAATAGAAAGTTTAAGATGTACCACGTACCATTGCAATGTAAAAAGAGTACGTGAGAAACTTTAAAATGTTCAGACGAATTGCTTCATTTGTTGTCCCCTTTTTTTTGCATTAAGAAAATATCTAAATAA